CGGGTATAAAAAAGACAAATGTAAAACACTAAACATACAATCATCTTCTATTATTTTGGAATTCATACACAGGTTTATTTGAGCAAACTTGTGCCAAGAAGGCTGGACAGTTGTCACATTAGACAGGTGGTCTTCATGTACCCGTCACCTCAACATGTAAATTGCATTGGGACTGCACAAAAGTGGTCAATATGAGCAAGTGGTCAATAACACAGCTTTGAATGTACAATCAATTAAATAACATTTTCTCACAATTACATGTTGATAAATTTAATAGGAGGAGCTTTCTGTATTACTGAACCGAAAAAAACTACTCAATATGGGTCACTGACATAAATTGTCATTTGTGTTTTAGTCAGTAATAGCATGTACATACTGTGGATCTTCATCTTGATGGATTCCTTTTATTGCCATAATATTAGCCACAGCTTCATCAACACGTTCTCCATTTGTCAAGGCTTTCTTAACAGCTGCAGTATGGGAATGTTTGAGACATGATTCTAACAAACAAGGAGAGAAGATGATTACTCAATTATGATTTGACAAATCATCATGCACACGTATACATATCAACTACACAACTCACCAATTTTCTTTGTCCTTTTAGCACCAACATTGTATTTACTACAGATTCTCTGTAGTTCACAGACACCAGTTACTTTGTGTAGAAACCACTTAATCATCCCACGTAGGAACGAAAAATAGATGTACAACCAGAGTTGGTGCCAAGTCATGACAACAAATCTCTTCTGATCATGTCAAATGGCAGTCTTCTCCTAGAAAGCTGAATGAATGAAAAAATGACATCAGTATTAGTCAAAAAGAAGATAATATTTGTTGGTTTTATTTTCAATATGAGTGCCAAATTTTGCTTGGATATGTTGCTGTGCTGATATTTTTATAGACTGTCGACAGTCCAGCCTAATTTGTTAGTATACTAAACCAGCAAAAGGCGAGGGCGTTTGCAAGAAATGATGCGAGCATTTTAGCGAAGGCTTGAGGCCTGTTAACGTTTGTAACCGCCCTCACGCAACATAAAAAGGTTTTCCACTGGTACATGCATGAGCTGTCAATCACTCTCTGTTCTCATCAGTACTACGTTAGTATTATTGCTGTTTGCTGATTCAGTATATTGACAAATTAGGCCTGAAAGCTGATGACAGTCTAATACTTTTTAGGAACTTTTATACAATTCAAATATTTCATGAGAAAACAAAAACTAAACTGTAATGTAATCTATTAGCTATTGGCTAA